TGCATCTTAATGTTTATTTTATTTTGTATTTATTCGAGTGAATACATTATTCACAGTTTAATAATAATTTAAAAAAAATATGTTATGTTTTATGATAATTTTTTCTGCTGTACCGAAAACGTACCGAACCGAACCGTGACCTAAAAACCGAGGTACGTACCGAACCGAAATGTTTGTGAACCGTTACACCCCTATAATCATTAGTGAACTTTGAACCATCATTTATTTTGCAGGCAGCTCTCTGCCTCTCTCACGTTATTATGGCGCGCGCCGGAACCAACAATCAGTTTTTACCGTAAATGAGTTCGGTTCAGAGGACAAAGCACATACAACATTAATTAAACTCGATATTTGTTCACTTGAATTTCACTTTGAATTATTGGATATTCTCAATGGGTGAATACATTTTTTTATAATAATAATAAAATAATTAAAAAAAATTTAAAAAAAAAAAAAAAATTTAAATGACACCGAAGCTTTCTCAGGGTGGGCCAATGAGTAAACTGGGTGGGCCTGGGCCCACCCTGGCCCTATGGTGGCTACGCCACTGGTTACCGCCCTTACATGCTAAACTCTTATTGCACTTTTGGCAACGAGCATTGTCCTCATCGATTTGGGTAAAGTTTAACCACACCTCGGAGCGCTTAGTTCTCTCCACCATGTGTGTGTGTGTGTGTGTTGCATGCATGTAGCAGCTGAGTGTGTGTAAACTGCCCCGCCCCCTCGCACACAGACGGGGGAGAGAGATCTCTCGTCTGGATTGGAAAGATCGAAAATACATCCTAGACGCATTTTTAATGCATCATTTTGGAACTGCAGGTTTTCCGTGGCAATTCACGTCAGAGTCCACCTTCTGACTCATAACCTGTCTCCCATTCAGGCCAATCGATTTTAAAACAAACACTGAGTCCATTCTTCTTGGCAGGAATGGTCTCTGTTTGTCTCTGCCTGACAATATAAGAGTGGAAGATACAGTACGAGACAGAAAAGGACAAGAGATAAAGTTAGATACAGTCTAAGATTATTTCCTTTTATAATAATATCTTTAGATAGTGATGGATATTATTGCTCTATATTGTGAAAATCTCTCCATCTCTGAAGTAAAGTGAACAATGAAGCTTATATGAATATCCTTGGGGAAAATAAAGCGACTTAAAAGGAATGAGAGGGAGATAGAGGGTCACTTCAGAGCCCATCTCCAACAATATAACAAGAGCAACACCAAAAGCTGTTTGTTCGAAGAATAGAGGGCGGAGAAGAAAAATGAGTGTGAGCAGCGCGTCAGCCGTAGATAGCAGACATACAGTAGATCAAGAGGAATAAAGATAGACAGCGACAGCCGAGGAAGGGCAGAGTGAGGCAGACAAAAACACTGCAGGAAAACAAGAGACGTTATATCTTGCGAGGCATCTCTCTCCCGGAATTTGGCAGATTATTAGAAGTGTGACCCTCAAAGGCTTCAATCCCCAGCTAACGAGGGCAACGTCTTAAAGTGACATTTCCGAGCCGAAGGAGGAAGGGGAAAAAAAGAAAAAGAGCGAGCGATTTAAGAAATGAAAACGTTTTTGTTGAGATAAGTTTGAGATTCAAACAAAAAAAGGGTCACCGCCCCAATAGATGTATTACATATAAACACAGACTCGCCAGCAAATCACAAAAACATGCTGGGAGACATATTCCCACAGGATGCACCCACACACATGTAGAAGGTCATTTCCCCTCTGGCTCATATATTATTGCCGATTTGGGAAGGGGAAGCTTGTTCACTAAATATTTGATGGACACCTCTAGCTGCAATGAGATTAACAGATTAATCTTAAGGATGTGTTTATCAGTGTGTCATTGTGTGTGTGTGTGTGTGTGTGTGTGTGTGTGTGTGTGTGTGTGGTGTGTGTGTGTGTGTGTGTGTGTGTGTGTGTGTGTGTGTGTGTGTGTGTGTGTGTGTGTGTGTGTGTGTGTGTGTGTGTGTGTGTGTGTGTGTGTTCAGTGCCACACAAGCAGTGGCGTTTTCTCCTGGAGGCCAAGGGAAGCCAGGCTTCCTCTGTTTTTTCGGATTGTAGTTATCATTTTAATAAATAAATAAAAACACTTCGTTTAGTTTCGGAAATTCTTTGTTGTGTGTTGCTGCCGGTCCGTCTCTCCCCCATTCTCATTGAGTATTTTACAAAGAGTGAAACAAACAGCGCCCCTCTTGATGTTATGGTGAAACAGTAGATTGCACTCTCCGTTGCGAGAGGAGGCCAGTCGAAATTGGCTTCCCTTGGTGAAAAAAAATGGAGGGATTGACCAATCAGATGAGGTCCACGTGATGCCCCTGCCAACCTGTGATTAGTCAGGGCCATGCCAAGGGAAGCCAGAGGCGGCTGGCTTCCCTTGCCTCACAATCCAATCAAATCGCATCAACTTAGTGTTGCAGTGACGCATCCTAAAACCCGGAAGTAAGCTGCGCTCGGTTTCCCTCGACAAAAAAGCAATGGGATTTCTCCATAGGATTTTGGAAAATAGCTCGAAATAAGGTCAGTGGAAAACAAACCTGTTTGATAAATGCACGTTTTGTTCAGTCGGATAATATCCACATGTCTACCCTACTTTTATAATTTTTGAATCATAAATATAATCGATAGAAGATAGATAGCGTCACCGCTGTTAGAAAGTAGCAAGCAACTGAAGCAAGTGCAAGTGGAGATTTGGAGTATTTAATCAAAAACAATTGTACTAAACTTCCGCTACAGCGGCAACAACAAATAAAATCTGATGACAGGCCAATGCCCAAACTGGAGCTGTGTACAGCGAGGAACAAAGGAGCGAATCGGACGTAAAACGTTAAAGGTCTCCTGATTTAGTTTGTGAATGAATGCTTATTAGAGTTTGGGCTAGAGAGTGCGTGCGGACCTGTCGGTTAGATAACAGGCGTGTGTAAGTCCTGCATCTGTATGATACAAATGTGTGTAAAATGATACCGGGTGCTGTAATCACTCATCTGGTTATGTTATTACATTGACCATCACACCCCCGACCCAAAGGAAAGGACGTATTATTGGCTTCCTCTAATTTTTTTCCCACGCCACGCCACTGCATAGAAGCCCTAAAGTTAATTCAAAATGAATCAAACATTACACAGGCAACGACAGCATACAGCTCAAACTGAGTGATAAGGTCACACTTACAAAATGAAAACAAACAAAATGTCAATGTTAGGAGAGAAAAATAACAGAAACACCAGAAACAAAACAAATATGCTATGAACCAAGAACCACAGCTTGTTGGGATATTAGATCTAATTTAGTTTTTCAACATAGGATACTTTAAAGATCTGATATAAGTATTTACAATGTTATACAGATACAGGTCTTTAGTTCTGTATTGCCAATTGATTTAGTTTTTATTGTCAGGTATTTCCTGGTAAAAACAATGTTGATTCAAATGAATGAAGCCTTTTCTTCACACTTTCTGTTGTGAACATGTCTTTTTTGACCATTATGGAAGAAGTTGTACTAATACGTATACTTTTTACAGTTACATGTTCCATGTCAGACCTTTACTACATGATGTATTTGGATAATATTACTGCTGGGTTATTGTGTATGTTGCATTTGACTGTTGTAGATGTTTATGGTTGTGATTATTTTAACTCCCTTGAATCCAAATGTGCAGTTTTATCTATTGCAATGCATCATGTTCTTTAAGATCATCATATGTTTGTAGCTTCGTTGCTGTTCTATAAGAACCACATATCTCTATTTTTTTGATAAGCTGTTTTCAGCTTTGTGATGATGCATTTTGATGCTTATCCAGGAGGGATTTTAATCTTTGGAAAGTAAGAGATTTAAATAAAGGAACACTATCCTTAAGTATGTCAAAATCAACAGGTCTGGGGAAAGGAGATGCAAAACAAATCTGTACCAGTAAAGTAAAAAGTACAATATTCCCAACTAGGAAGCGCTGATATTATAAGTATAAATCTTAAAAGGGAAATACTCAAGTAAATGTGTGCTTAAATATAGTTATTGTGGAAAAGTACTGTCGTTACATTCCATCATTGCTATAAGCTATGGTGGGCTATAGCAGCTATAGTTAGCCAACTTTAGATACATAGATACATTGTTGTCTAACTACTGAGAAATTAATTAGACTCTTGAAGAGTATTTATTAATCCAGAGCATCCAACTTAATAGTATGTACACAACTATTATTCAAATGTGCACAGGGCTATAGCAGCTGCAGGTACAGAGCACTGTTCGGGGTTATCTCAATAACAGAAGCCGAGTAAAGGAGAGATATTGCTCATCGGGTTTACCACCCAGAAATTCCTCATCTTACTTAACTGTTGTACACCATTGGACCATTAATCCCAAATGGTTGCTATCTTCTTAAACAAGCATAAGAAGCCACCATGGCTGAGGAAGTAGCTCTGACGGAGCGACCGAGGGCCACTTTGTGTCTGCAGCCTGGAGATTAGCGAGCCAGCGGAGATTTACTGAGGATAAATGTAAAGCCGAGCTGAACAATGAACGCTTCTGGCCAAGATTGTTTAAGGGGATAAGATGTTCACAAAAAGATGCCTCAATGTGGGATAGAGTGTGTGTTTGAAACAGTACGTGTGCCTGTGTGAGATTAGCTGTCTGGTAAGCATTTTTGGGGGGGTGGGTATGTTTGCATGTTGGTGTGTGTGTCAATAAAGTTATGTGATGAGAGCTGTAGTGAAAATGCCAAAGCCAAAAAGACCAGACGGTCCTATTCGGAGGCCTTTGAAGCAACACAGCTTCAAATGCAGAGGCAGCTTAAAGGACTTAGGATAGGAATTGATCTGACAACCCCCCCACACACCACTTTTGAATATAATCAGGCCCAGTAGAATTCGCTGCGTTCAGAAGTTTCAGTCAAAATCTCCATAGTATATGTCAAAGCCAGCTATTGGAGGGATCTCGCTGTCACAATCTAACACAAATACACAAGGTTGGTCAATATGATGGCAAATGAAAGACCTCTAGAAGTCTTACCAAAGTCGGCAAAGGAGGACTGTCCGACAATTTTATTTGGTGGTTCTGCAGGCAGGACATCATCAACTCTGGTGAAGTTCCCATCCTGAGAGAGAGAGAAAAAAGAAATTGGTAAAAACTCTCCACAAAACCTGACTAACTTTCCTCGTTCCAATTCTGCCAGAAGAGTTCAGAAGAGATCCAGAACCCCCGAAATTCAAACACCATTAGCTTACTTTGTGGACACTATAGATGTTCATTGTAAAACAGCATACATGAGACAGTTAGATATGTAAATGACATCATCATGTAAATGGTAACACAACTGAAACAACTTTCAGTCAAATAAAATGAAGAATCCTAAAGATAACAGTTGGTTTGAAAAAGGATGTGAAGAAATTAAGCAAAAACACAAATATGGAGGAAATATAGACTTGCAACTTATTTACTATGACACACTTAACAATACAAACACACAATCGGAATTAAAAATAAGAAGAACAACACAAACACAAACAAATGAAAACAATTGAGGAGTCCACAACAACAGATTATTGGAAAATATATGGGCACAATCTTAAAAACTGTTATTAGATAGATTGATAGATGGATAGTCTAACATACAGTAATGTCTAACGGTTAGCATAATGGTTATTTTCCTTTTCTTTACATGGCCAAGGCTCATAGAGCATTCAATGGACAGTAGCGAAGCAGTCCGTCGGGAAGGCTTTTGTGTTCATCTATGCTTGTGCATAAGCATGAGAAATACATACATGTTGGAGCTCTTCACTGCATAAATGCATATATTTCCCGACAGATGCTAGAAGCTGCCAGATTCGGAATAGCCCCATCATTTAAAGCCGTGGTTTTTATGGACCACTTCCACAGTTGGATCATTTCTAATACCTTTTAACATTTACTGATAGCATTGGTCCTGCATCCTGTATACTGTAAGTAGGTAGAGTTAAAGTGTGTCATTGTTCTACTGTTAGGGCTGCATTACTAGTTTTTTTGGATTAATTGTGTCATCTATACACTCAGAACGTTGCACACAAAAGTAACACACCATATATTGCCAGAACATTTGAATGAAAACACTGATTGTTTTGTTTTTGGCTTAAAAATATTGTTAGTTTAACTTGCTATTTCCTAATAGTTTTCTGTCAATCAAAAAAGTTATTCATTGACATATAGCTTCAGTAACATTTCATTTCAGTGCTGCAACTAATGATTTGTTGTACCATGGGTAAGGGTATGATTTATTAACTGATTATTATTCTAAATTCATTGTCTAAAAAACTGAAAATGTTTATTTATTACAAAAGTGTCACATTTAAAGTGCACCTATCATGCTATTTTTAGGCAATAGCATAGGTCTCAGATATATAAAAAGTGTTTTGCTCAAAATACCAAACAGATCACCCATTCTAGCGATGCCTCATATCCCTCCATTTCACTTCCTGTTTCAAAAGGGCTGATTTGGGGTATAAAGCTTTAAAAAATACAAAAATGGATACAAAATAAAAAAGGAGGGGGCTGAGCTCATGCGGGACCCGGCAGCTACTGTCCAAACTAAATACTGCCGTGATGAAACGCCATATCATGGATTATCAAGGATTCTCTCTGAACCAGTATGGAGCTCAAAGGCTTTCTCTCTTGCCGGTTATACCACAAGGTGAGTTCCTTTTTACTTCCTGCTTCTTCACACACATGCTCTCCAGTACAGGTTAGCTCTGAGTGTTAGCGATGCTAATGTAAACACCGACCATATTACGTCCAAAACAGTCGGGCATTGTTTCTGATAGCAACTTTCTGATAGTGCCGTGGGTCCACATTTCTGATATTACGTCATATCGGACGCAAATCTGGATCAGCTCCGTTGTAGCCCCGTTTTTAGAGATTTGGGTACGGAGGAAAAGAGAGAGGGTTTTATTTTCTGACGCTGCGTGAGTTTCCTGACACACCAGGGACACGTATTTATGTATAAAAGACATCAACAAGTGCATTTTGCATGATAGCTCCCCTTTAAGAAGCTGGAAACATGTATTGCTACAACAAATTACTTCAACAGGAGATTGTGAAAATAAACTAATCGATTAATTGACCATTCAGTTCACCTGTAACTGATTACATTTTTAGAATAAGAAGCATACTTTATTCACACCGCAAGTGGAAATTATGTTTTCACTCTGTTGATACAGTACAGCTGTTGTAAATTACATATTTATATACACATACTCAAATGATTATTTCCCTACCTCACATTAAATCAGATGTTCTTTATGCTATAAACAACCAAATGTGTGTTTCGTGATAGCCTTCTACACGAGGATGACAAATTAAAGAAAAGAAAACTAAGTTTAATATTTCAAAATTAGTGATCTGTACGTAGACTGGACATCCCATATAACCTGGCTGAGCCAATATAAAACAATCAGCCAAATAACTTTTCAATACATTATTGATTACTATTTTTGAGGTACTTTTAGGTTGGCAGTGAACATAAGTCAGAGGTACATGGTGTACTTTGACTCCACTACATGTATTTAATACCTTTAGTTACTTCACAGATGTGGATGAATGATGTGAAATATAATCAAGTGTTAAATCAGACTTTAGTTCCACCTGGAGTAAATCCACCAGCTACCCTGCAGTATACAAAGTCATTCAGACTAGCTGCACCTTTACCAGCTTTGAGAACACTCTCATGATCAATCATTATAAAACATATCATATATATTATTCTGAAATGGACCAATCTGCACAATGACTACTTTTACTGTCTTTAACTATATTTTGATGAGAATACTTTTCTACTTTTACTTGAGGAACATTTTGAATGCAGGACTTGTACTGTGACAGAGTATTCCTACACTCTGGTACTTCTACTTTTACTCAAGTACAAGATCTGAGTACTTATCATTTCACTACAAGATCTGAGTACTTCTACTTTTACTCAAGTACAAGATCTGAGTACTTATAATTTCACTAAAAGATCTGAGTACTTATTCCACCTCTGGTAGCGTATTAGTCTGGATTGTAGCCACAAAATCACGCAGAGCTGCATACAAATCGACTCACAATGGTAACAAGTGGGAAATAATATTTACAAATGTGTACAATGATTTGTAGGTAATGCTGACTACTCAAGACACCTGACTTATACATCTGCAAAGGAAGACTGTGTTCATTCTACAATTACATGGGATTAAAGCAAAATGTAGTTTTACTTGTATAATACTTCAATTTGATATAAAACACAGTTTGTTTTCATCTGTTTTCAAATAAACAAAGTCTTGGCTTTCAGAATATTACACTTCTTTCGGCAAATTCAGATGATAAATACAACTTTGAAGCTTCGGCATAATTACAAGCGGAGAACGGACTAATGTAACATCTCAGCAAGCATAACAACAGCCGGTGTTTCTTGTGAGTGTTTCCCCGGTACACAAACACACACACACACACAAACTCGCGACCTTCCCCCAGACCAGTAATACAAACGAAAATGTGTCTTCGGGTCAATGTGACTGATTTCGATAGAGCAAGTCACATTTGGTTTAGGCACGAAACATACTACCAGTAGAAATACATTGCTTTCAAAATCGCTCTGTGTCGAATCAATAGATTGTATTTCGTGACTATAACACGAAATGCCGTGAGTGCTTCATCCTCTGAACACCACACGATGGCGACTGTAACGCACATAACATAGGTTACGCTCCTCTGAAATGATTATCCCCTGCAATTATTATTATCTCTCATGGAGTTCGCTATTCAGCTCGCTAACGTTAGCTTAAACAAACGTAACATGCAACGTTAACCTAATCTAAAATGCTTTACTACGGCGTACCTTTCATGTGGCTCGTCAGCGCAGACTCTCGCATCGTTATTTTTGCAAACTTTGCAGGAGGCTACTCGTGGGCTTGACCCTCGTCTTAGCCATGGCTTGTATTTGTCTTCTGCTAGCCAACGCTCGTTGAAACTGCAACCTCCTGGCACACAGTCATATATCACTCTCATCAGAATGCCCAGGTCACACGTAACACAAACACTTGCAGGTCGCGCGCATAGCGCGGGAAGGCCGCAGCGGAGCTGTTTTATGCAGAAGCGAAGCAATTCTTTTATTTTAATCTAAAAAGCGAACTATTCAGTCAGACAGCAATTTATTGTAAAAGTAAAGCATTTACATTTTCAAGCACTTTATCTCAATTTCAAGCACCATTCCCAACATTCATGCACTTTCCCAACCTTGAAAACACCACGTCAAATTTCAAGCCTTTTCAAGGATTTCAAGCACCCGTACGAACTCTGTATACAGTAGGGATGGGTATCGTTAAGGTTTTAACGGTACTACTACTTTTATCGATACCGCTTATCGGTCCGGTCTCTTATCGGTTCTTTTGGATAAAAAAAAAAAGGTAAACTAACTAAACAAATTGTGAACAAAACTAACATTGCTTCTTATTTAAATTAAATACATAATATTTCACATCAAAAGAAACAACAATGTTTTAACAAATCGTATTAAATAATCTGATGACAGAACTGTAAACAGAATAGCTGAAACTTTAACTAAATAAATAACTCAGTTACCTCTAATCATTAACCCATGCTTGTATAATGTAGTTAACTCTGTGTGTTGCTGCTAGCATACATAACACCTGACGTGGAAACGTTACTCGTGACGGGGCTACAGAGCTGCTAGAAAGACAGTCGAACCCGGTGCATTCCTCCGTCTGAATGTGGTGCACTTTTGCTAAATGTTTAGACAAATTGCTCGTGTTACCGTCCTTACATGCTAAACTCTTATTGCACTTTTGGTAACGAGCACTGTCCACATCGAGACGGGTAAAGTTTAACCACCTCGGAGCAGGTTCTCTCCGCCATCTCCTCCGTGTGTGTGTTGCTGCATGTAGAGCCGCGTGTGTGTAAAATGCCCCGCCCCCTCGCAAGCAGGCGAGAGAGATCGAAAATACTAAAAATAATCATGGACGCATTTTGCAGTCTTTTTGCGTATTAGAAACGGAGTTGGCGACACTAAAACTGCAATATAATGTTTGTGTAGCAATAATACATATGACATATATTTTTTAGATGTCTCCA